GGTGCCAGAGAGGTGGCACTCAGAGCCCTCTCTGTGGGCACGCGTGCCATCGCCCCAGCCAGGCCCAGACCATCATTAAAGTGTCTGCCAAATAATTTTAAGTCAATGAAAGCATTTGGGATAGCTTTCCTTACTTTGTTTGGATCATCTTCAGTTAATGTAAGAGTTGTTTTTTCTAGAGTAAAACCTCAGGATTCAGGTTAAATTGCCGTGTGGGCACTTTGTGATGAATAAGTGGGTTTTGGGTTGCAGTTTGGGCACTCGGTCTCTAAAAGGTTCTCCATCACTGCTCTAAGCTGTGGAGTTTTGTGAGCATGAAAGTTGTGAGCAAGCGATTTGGCTGCTGCGTAAATTAGTTTGCTCTGGAGCCCTCCTTCCTGAGCTAAGACAAAAATGTGTGTGCCAGAGGGTAAAATTCTGTGAGCTAGCACACAGCAACTCAGCTTAGAGGGATCACTGGTACCAGGAGGAGGAGGAGGAGGAGGAGGAGGAGATTGGATTTATATCCTGCCCTTCACTCGGCTTACAATCTCCTTTCCCTTCCCCTCCCCGCAACAGACACCCTGTGAGGTAGGTGGGGCTGAGAGAGCTCCTTCGAGGACTGCTCTTGAGAGAACAGCTCTGAAAGAATTGTGACTGACCAACAGCTGCATGTGGAGGAGTGGGGAAGCAAACCCGGCTCTCCCAGATTACAGTCTGCACACTTAACCACTGCACCAAACTGGTGCACCTTTAAAAATTCTTTTTTTTAAAAAAAAAAGTCCTACCTTTAAAAATTCTTGTCTAGGTTTCCCCCTCCCTAAAGAAGAGAGAGGCACAGAAAATGGACAGATTAAAAAAAAATGGAAAGGAAAGAGAGAACTTAGCAGAGAAGAGAAAGAGCGAAAGATAAAACACAGTTACCCCGCATAAGGCTGCTTTGTGAGGCTGCAAAACTGGGCCCACTTACTCCCAAGTAAGCCCCCCTGGACCCTGTGGAAGTAGTCTTCTAATAAACACACATCATGGGGCTCCATGGTTCAGGCTACCAGGTTTGAAAAGGCCGGGGCACTAGCAGATGGCGAAGGCAATAAAAAGTGACAGCTATATTACTAATTGAGCTCATAAATGTGCAATGTCTCCTTTTTTTTTTAAACTTAGAACCAAATTCATTTCAGTAAGTCTACACTTTGCTTCCCTGCCAGACTCAGTACCACACAAGGACACACTGACAGCATTTTTCAGAAGAAAAGCAAATACAAGTAGAAGCCTTTGTTGTTGTTTGGTTTGGCTTTTTTTTTTTAAAAAGGAAGATAGAGATCTGAGATGCGTTTACTCAATTCTGCATCCATTAGACTAGCATTCAGAGTTCTTCCTCATGGTTCAATATTATCAGGGTGGGGGGAAGCGATGCATTTCATGTCCCCATAGCCTAAGAGAAGCCATGTTGGATCAGGCCAATGGTCCATCCAGTCCAGCACTCTGTGTCACACAGTGGCCCTAACCCCAGGGGCCATCAGGAGGTCCACCAGTGGGGCCAGAACTCCAGAAGCCCTCCCACTGTTGCCCCCCAAGCACCAAGAAGACAGAGTATCACATGCCCCAGACAGAGGATTCCATCTAGACCTTGTCCCCTCTAAAGCCTAAACACTTTACAGATGTCTTCAGTAAATAATAATTATTATTACAGACTTGTCACTTTATATGCATGATTTGCATCATATTTTCCTCAGGGAAGGAAAATTTTGTGATGTGGGTCAATGCATGTGTGGCTGGCTGTCAGCGTGCGTTTGACCAAGGTGGGCTTGGTTAGTGTCCACATCAGAACACTTCAGAAGACCCGTCTGCTGGTTCTTCAGCTGACTGTTGTAGGGCTCTCTTTCGGCTCTGCTCCTGCAGAGTGCAGGGGGTTGGACTAGATGACCTGCAAGGTCCCTTCCAACTCTAACCTTCTATGGTTCAGAATGCTTGCAGCTCCTCACCATAAGAAACTCACTCATTGAGATTGCAGAATCATGCCGGGAGTTGTGAAACACACACGAAACTGCCGTACACTGAATCAGACCCTTGGTCCATCAAAGTTGATATCATCTACTCAGACTGGCAGCAGCTGTCCAAGGTCTCAGGCAGAGGACTTTCACATCACCTCCTACCTGATACTTTTTTAACTGGAGATGCTGCCGGGGATTGAACCTGGGACCTTCTGCATGCCAAGCAGAGGCTCTGCCTCTGAGTCACAGCCCCTGTTTACAGCTCTCCAGGGTCTCAGGTGGAGGTCTTTCCCATCGCCTCCTGCCTGGTCCTTTTCAACTGGAGATGCCGGGGATTGAACCTGGGATGCTTTGCCACTGAGCCACAGCCCCTCTCCTTCCTGTATTGGGAGGGTAGGGAATTGTGAATCTGACAGGGCCCGTTCCTCCACAAAAAGTTCAAGAAGTTCTCTGGTGTCTCTACAGCAAGAGGAAGCGTCACTTACATGTCCTGGCAGTGCATTTCTCTGCAGCACCAATTCCTCACCAAGCAAAGTGGTGGATTTTAATCCAGATGCCGTCCACGGACTACTGACCTCGACAGCCGAGCATTTTTCTAATCTTGTTCCGTGATTCTATTATTACTTCTCTCTTTTCCGTTTTCCTAAATCCATGCAACGTTGGGCTTTTTCCCAATTCTCATTTTCCTTGCTTTGGTGGGGGGAGTCTGTTCTGCATGAATTTGCTCCCTCTAGTGGTCGATTCAATATTACACTGGTTTATCTCCATCATAAAACCCTGTATTTTAAATCTGCAGGGAGATACGCCAGAGATAAAGCAAGACACACGCGGAAAAGCAAAACAAGCCGAAGCAACACGAAAAGCTATCTTTTTAGCTGTTTTATGCTCTACTTTTGGCCTCGAGTCTGTCTTGTGGATATTTTAATGCAGGTTTTTCTATTAATGACTGGTTTTTAATGGCTCCTGCTTTTATATTGATAACTTATGATTTACTTTGTAAGCCACCTAGGGTCGCCAGCTCCAGTCTGGGAAATTCCTGGAGATTTGAGGGGGTGGGTTCTGGCGAAGGTGGGATTTGGGGAGGGACCTCATCAGGGTATAATGCCACAGGCAGCTATTTTCTCCAAGGGAAATGATCAGTTGTAATTCCAGGGGATCCCCAGTTTTCTCCAAGGGAAATGGTCAGTTGTAATTCCAGGGGATCCCCAGGCACCACCTGGAGGTTGGTAACCTGAAGCAGGCCCTATTGGGTTAGGGGGTGGAGCCAGTAGCTTTCGGGAAGACCAGAGAGGAGGTCCAGTGGGGTTTGGGGTGGTGGTGAATCCAGTACAAAAGCAATCTGTTCACCTCAGAGGCACATCCCAGGCGGGGGGGGGGAACAGCACATAATCCCCAAAGACTGGCACCAGCTTTATGCTTGAGCAAGAGGAAGGTGACCTGCCCTAGACTACTGGGTACCTTGAAAGGGCACCAAACCACCAAGAGTTTATTCATTGTACCGTATCAAACATGATACGGTACAATGAGAAGGGAGCCCTCACTGGAGAAGACCCTGATGCTGGGAAAGATTGAAGGTCAAAGAAGACGGGGATGAGATGGTTAGACAGTGTCATAGATGCAACGAACATGAAATTGAGCCAACTTCAGAGGACGGCGGAAGACCGGACGTCTAGCCGGGATCTGGTCCATGGGGTCGCGAAGAGTCGAACTCGACTGTGCGACTGAACAACAACAACAACAACAGCAGCATCAAACATGATCTGCAGTATAACAGCAGATCAGGAGAACCCGGCTACCTTCTGAGAATACCTAACGTGAGGTAACGGATTTCTGAGAATGTTTTCACCACCCGAGAGGGAGCCATTTTGGATTCTCCCCTCCCCCCTTGGCCAGGCCAATCTCTCTGGCCTCCCGTCCGTGCCGATGGCATCTGTGTCTGTGCCTCCCCACCTGGAGAGAGAGAGAGAATCTCCCTTACCATTTTTTCAGCCACTAGCCTGGTCTCAGCTCTAGGCTTTTCCTCCCCATTGTCCTATTGAGGTAGTACCATTTATCATTTAATAAACTATTGCCGATGGCATCTGTGTCTGTGCCTCCCCCACCTGGAGAGAGAGAGAGAGAATCTACCTTACCCTTTTCTCAGCCACTAGTCTGGTCTCAGCTCTAGACTTTTCCTCCCCATTGTCCTATTGACGTAGTACCATTTATCATTTAATAAACTATAATGTTGAGTCTTCCTGCCCTGTTAGATGCTGGCCCAACCGTCGCTTGACCAATCTGGACTGGGCTCCCAACTGACCAGGTTCTAAGCCGACCTCACAAGTGGGTTCTGGATTTGTTCTCTGGTGAAGAATCCGTCCCTACTGGTGTAGCCTTGGTAACCCACAGAGCTGGAAGAAGACGGATCTCAACCTCTAACGCTCGAAGGGAATCGAACCGGTGTTTGGGCCACCTCAAGCAAACCTCCAAGTGGGGCTTGTGTTCTCCTGGAATTCTGTGACGTGGATCAATGCATGTGTGGCTGGCCGTCAGCATGCGTGTGACCAAGGCGGGCTTGGCTAGTGCCCACCAGGGCTCCCTCTAAGCTGTGGAGTCTTGTGAGCAAAAATTCTACTTTGTGAGCTACTGGCATTAAAGCTGTGAGCGAGCGATTTGGCGGCTGTGTAAGTTAGTTTGCTCTGGAGCCCTCCTTCCTGTGCTGAGACAACAATGTGTGAACCGGAGGCTCGGAAACTGTTAGCTCACACTAACTCAGCTTAGAGGGAACACTGGTGCCCACATCAGAACACCCCAGAAGGCCCACCTGTTGATTCTTGGGCCGATTCAGACTGCTTGCAGATCCCCGCCACGAGAAACTCATTGAGATAGCAGAATCCTGCCTGGAGCTGTGAAACACACAGGAAACTGCCTTACACTGAATCAGACGCCCTTGGTCCATAAAAGTCGATATCGTCTACTCAGACTGGCAGCAGCTCTCCAGGGTCTCAGGCAGAGGGCTTTCACATCCCATCCCACCTGATCCTTTCTAACCGGAGATGCCGGGGATTGAACCTGGGACCTTCTGCATCCCAGGCAGATGTTCTACCACTGATCCACAGCCCCTCCCCTTCTTGTATTATGGGAGGGGAGCAGGGAATTGTGAATTTGACGGGCCCCATTCATCCACAAAAAGATCAAGTGGTTCTCTGGTATCTCTGGTCTCAGGCAGGGGTCTTTCACATCACCTACTGCCAGACTGTTTGACTGGAGACGCTGGGGATTGAACCTGGGACCTTCTGCGTGCCAAGCAGAGGCTCTACCACTGAGCTACAGCCAATGCTCCCTCTAAGCTGTGGAGTCTTGTGAGCAAAAATGCTACTTTGTGAGCTACTGGCATTAAAGTTGTGAGCGAATGATTTGGCTACTGCATAAATGAGGTTGCCCTAGAGCCATCCTTCCTGAGCTAAGACAGAAATGTGTGAGCCGGAGGCTACAAAACCGTGAGCTAGCTCACACTAACTCAGCTTAGAGGGAAGACTGCTCTGGAGCCATCCTTCCTGAGCTAAGACAGAAATGTGTGAGCCGGAGGTTAAAAAACTGTGAGCTAGCTCACCCTAACTCAGCTTAGAGGGAACACTGCTCTGGAGCCGTCCTTCCTGAGCAAAGACAGAAATGTGTGAGCCGGAGGCTAAAAAACCATGAGCTAGCTCACACTAACTCAGCTTAGAGGGAACACTGACCACAGCCCAGCTGTCTGCCTCTAGGCAAACATATATACAAAAAAACCAGGAGATCTCCAGCCACCACCTGGAAGTTGGCAACTCTAGGGAGCAATTGAGCCCCCATTCTGCATAGAAACCAGCTTCTGGGATTTGCAGACTAAAGACCCTGTGTTGTGCCGATGGTCCCATAAACGTTCACATGCTGTCAGTCAGAAAGTCAATCACCTTCGTACAACCCGTTTTCTCAACACTGGGAAAGTTGCAGCTGTGGCCACCCTCTGGGAGTTCATCCGTACAGGAGGGCTACGGAAGAGATGCAAATTAATACCATCCCAGAAGGCTGCTGGCCAACGTAACATTGCTGTTTCCCCCGGACAATGCGGCTGTACTTGTGACGATATATAGTCTCTTTAACCCAAGTTGCCTTTCCACAACGTGAGCATGCATGAAGCCGTCACCCTTTGTTGAGATGGCGGCTGGAGAGACAAACAGAAAGACGGCCGGCCGAGAGGCCTCCACGAGCGGTTCCAAAAAACAAAAGTGCTCTTTGTCGAAAGTACAGTGTGCTATTTTGCAAAACGCCAAACCCACAAGAACAACGGCTTTTAAACGTTACCAGGAGATAGTCTGCAGTTCGTTATGGATAAATGAAAAATTGCCCATCAGTGTTGTACGCAACTGCCAATAGTTTACACGGAACTTCCAAGAAATGGTATTAGTCATCTGACCTCGTTGAGATGTTTAGACCTGAAATTGAAGTCAGACTGTCATTTTCTGACTTCTTCGCCCAGGACGTACGGAAATGAATGCCTCGCTGGGCACGCACGAGCGGGAAAGACATGCCGATCGCGGCATTCCTGCATCGTTTGGTAGACCCCGGTGCCCGCATCCCCAAAAAGCAGTTCTTGCTTCCCTGCATGACATCCCTGCCAGATGTCACAATAGACCACAGCTGATAAACCGTGGTCAGATTAAAACGCCAACATAATGTGATGTCTAAACGTGGAACTCCCACTGTGTTCTGTAGCACTACCCAGCTCTTGCAGGAAGAGAGGGAAGCACAAAGCAACAGAAAACCTTGCTGCTCCACCTGTATCCCGCTGATACTTTCAAAGGACCACTCTTCCTTCTTTATTCCTTCTCTCCATCCCCAGAGGAGGTCGAGGGGGGACATGACGGCTCTCTTGAAGTATCTGAAGGGCTGTCCCTTAGAGGAGGGCAGGGTGCTGTTGGCGGCAGAAGACAGGACGCGCAAGAATGGGTTTAAATTAAGGGCGGGAAGGTACCGGCTGGATATTAGGAAAAAAACGTTTCGACAGTCAGAGTTGTGAGGAGGGCTTCCGGTCTGGCTAAGATGGAGGACTGAAGCGTTTCGCGATCGTGCGAAGCGAGCGACGGCCACTTTTGACAGTTTGGGCAATACACAGCCCAACGCATCACTCCCCAGCGAGGGGGGGGGACAAGCAGGCAGCAGCGCCCTAGAGGGAGTGTGAGGTTGGCGTAATCCAGCTTCGGAAGAAGCTGAATTGGGCTTTGACCTCCTCCCACGAAGAAGGCAAGTGCCAAGCAACTCTATAGTGGCCGATCGAGCCGGATTACCGGCATAAATTCTTCGTCAGCAGACTTCTTTGAAGAAGGACAACAACTGTGAGTTAAAAGAAACAATGCGAAACCCGTTTTGAACGTGCTAGATAACAAAAACGTGCCGCTTACCTGAACTGAGTTTGGAGTCAATTTGAATTAAGCGGTTGAGCGGAAAATGAATAGTAAATCCCAGAAATCCGATTCCGGAGAGAAAAAAGTTGATTGAAGCCTTTAAAAACTGTAAAAACGCTTATTGTTTAACATTCCTGTGGTGAAGATGGAGCCGTGTGCGCAACTGTAAAATCGAAACTCACGAACAATAGCGTGGGAAGAGCAGGCTGGTGTCACAAAGAAAGAGGTCCGTGTGAAACATCCAGGAAGTTGAATTCCTAGACGGGCATTAGCGAAAGGAAGACAGTGGAACTTTTAAAGGTGCCGGACCGGAAGTGAGTTGTATGCGGAAGGAAGGGCCTGCAAAGTATCAATTTGACCTACTCTACATGAAATTACCATAGAGAAGTTGCGCCCGACATTTTGAGGAGGACTTCAACTAAATTTGCTTTTTTAATATATTTCTAAGGGTCTTTGGAAAGCGTAAACAGAGAGGCATGGAGGACTAAATCTTATCATCTAGAAGAGTGCTTTATTTTGCGAATCTGTGAATTGGAAAGAAATCGCCAAGACGGAGACCAGGAGAGGCAAGAAAAGAGCCGACTCAGACCCAGAACTTAAACC